TCTGCCATAGCAAAAAAAAAAATTAAAGATTTAAAAATATAGGGGTTGTAATGTTATAAGTTAGTGGTCTTTAATATTAAATGGAGGGTGGTTAAGAGAGGGTTTAGTATTAAAGACGCCCATTACAAAGATAATGAAGTATGGGAACATCTTGTATTTTATACGAATGAGGAGAAAATCATCAAGGGATAGGATTTTCTAAAACGAAACATTTTAGACTTGTGGTTTATTTAGGAAGAGTTTGGTGGGGTTTTTCATTCAATTTTTTTACATAATTATATGTCACACCATCTACATAGAATCTATACCTATAGAAAATATTGCAGGCAAATGATCGCCATTTTCCATACGAAATGTCCGACACTACGGGTGAATTTGAGTGGCTAAACCACTTGCTTTCGTTAGGAAGTACGGTTTTTAGCTTACCACTACCATTGCCATCAGTGCAAACTCATCCCCAGTAAATCGAAAATTTCACACAGAATGCAATCATGTACAAAAAAATGCATATAATTTCCTATACTATTTCTGAATATCTAAGATGTCCAATCATACCGCTTTAAGTTAAAAAAAAAAGGAAAGTGTGCGTATAAAACGCTACAAGACGAGTTCACAAAGTAAGTTTAAGTTTGAGTATGTCACTTTGTGTTCTCCGTAATTGGGCTTGTCCTGTGGAGAATTGAAATTGAAATAAATTGAAATAAATAAGTAAAATCGACTTCTTCGCAAATGCCGGTACCCATTAAGACATTACGTTGTTACTTCAGAGTCTTCAGAATCTCTGACAGTGTTGGAGGTGTTGGCGCCGGAACCAACACAACAAGAATTAGGGAAACAACTTACTGCACCTATACTTCTTAAACCTTACAAAATAATATAGGCTAATTACATAGCATAAAGCAATTCCGAGGACTAGGTAGTTAGTCCGTTGCAATTGAATCTTGAAAGTACAATGTATTTAATTCCAAAGCAAGACAATGAAGTTGCTTTGAAAACATTATTGTTTCACGTGAAGTAAGTGAACGGAAAGACAAATCTCGACAAAGGTACGTCAATTTATAATAGAAGTTTTAAACTAGGAACTAAATGTATTTGAGTATATGCACTGAATTCTTCAATATTCCCTCCTTTCAACTCCTAAAAGCAATTTCTTTATTCCGTTGTCAGAGAGTTGAATAGAGCCCAATCGTAGAGGCAGCCAACGCTCTGGTCACTTCAATACAAAGTGGTAAAGGTAGATGATGGATGAAGTAGTCATGTAAAAGAAATTTAAGTTTTTACCTGACGTACTACCTACGTGTAGGGAACTTACTTCCTATTTATTGTGTAGAGAAAGAAAAAAATAAACGTAGGTATTGTGGCGGAGATTATTCTGTTTTCACTACACCTGCCCGGTACAATAAATTTTCGATGTAAACACGCGATTATTTGTATAAAAGGGTTTGTTCGAGGCTGACAAAAGAACAATTCGAATGTAGGTACTGAATTATATAATTGCTATATTTCTTACGGGAACGATATTGTGGAGTCCATTAAACGATAAATAATACAGCAGTTTCACATACACTACCACATGTAAATAACTTATTCATAACACGAAGTGTTTCAAAGTAGGTTATCAGATTTGCGTCCTCCCTAAATTGCATGTTACAGCTAATAGCTTTATTTAAACGCTGAAATTTCTTTGAGCGGAAATCTGCTCGATAAATTCCAATTAAATAAACGGCGTTTGGGGTGTCAAAAAATGGTTACGCTGTGGTGACATTCGAAACTTGCTCTTTTTTTTCTATACCTCCAAATGAGTAAAAGATGTAGCCGTCCCTTGCGCTGTATTTTCTACCTTTTGTTCCACATTAACGCGTGTAAGGGATGTGTGTTGCAATACACACCTGCTTACCTGAAAGCCCCCATACCCTCCTAGGGCGTGCAACAGCCGAAAATATATAACTGGGTGCGGTAGATTAATTTTTGTAATAAAACAAATATTTCAGGTAGTTTTTTCATCATTTAAATTACACTGTCATGTCGTACAGGGCGCTGCGAGATACAGAACACAAAAAAAATGTGACTGTCACTGGTAATTTCCATTTTTCTAAACCGACTGTCAACGATAATTAAAGGCAAGAGATTAATTTAGTGTCCGCCTGCCTAATTAATTATATTTTATAATGTGAGATTAAACATATTTTACGCTTTATTTGTTTTGCCTAAACGATATTAATTAAATCTTTTTGATTTAAAACAAATTTATTCACCTGACACATTGCACAATTTCCCTTTAATTAGCGTTGAAATAAAAATAGCTTTGCCTTCATTAAAAAGTCTTGTGAAATATTTAATGAACTGGTTACATAATTGCATAGTTTGTGGACCATCGGACCATCAAAATTAATCTAGAATAATTAATAGCCATTTTTTACTATACGAATTCATTACGTACACTGTTTGACCGACCGAATATTTACGATTAACTTTTTTTTTTGTTTCAGGTGAGTCAGGCATTCTGTTGCTAACGCTTTTACGGTGAGTGGGCTTATTTTAAAATAAATACTGTCTGAATAGTGCCGCAGTGCCTTTTCAATAGATATTCTTGGTACTATAGGAAGTGATTTCGTAATTCGATGCACTTGGCCATGAAAGTAAATAATTAATTCGGATTGAAGACTCGATTCCGTTCAAAAATTAACGTTCTTTGCCTCTAAGAGCAGTATAGGTTTACTTTTCAAGAACACTATCGACTTTCAGTCTAACTTAACTCAAAGTTTTTCACCTCAAATTTTTTTGCTTAAAATGTCATTTTCAAGAAAACTATCTTTGCATGTAATATGTATTATCGCTCACCCAGCGTATGCAGATTTCATTTAAAATTTATGTTCAGGCACATAGCCGAGGGTAGGCCTGGGTGGGCACATTTCAATTTGTGCCCGCCCTAGTACCCTCCATTTGTATGAAGATTTCACTTACAAAATAACGTTACTAATTTTTTTATCTTTTCATGGTGATTATTAGTATTACTATTGTCTGTTCAAACAAGTTTATAAAGTATTGCTCGCGACCCTCATTGGGCTCAAAAATTTGATTCCTCTACTTTAAAATGAATATTGGGAAGAAATGGGAGAAGGTAAACCTGTTATTATTTTCGCCTTAAGTTTGGCTGCTGTAATTAATTATTGTTTTCCGGAAAACTTGCAATGGATACTTGTATGTTAGTAGTTTTCTGTAAACATTAACTTATTTTAATTGTTAGGTAATTAAAAACACATCAATTTAATTGAGAAGGGGCTATTAAATTCGATAAAAAAAAGCCAGTCGGTCTAAAAAAAGTTAAAGTATCAAGCGATATAATCATAGATTATAATTCAAATCATTTTATTTATAGCCATTGTGTAATGTTTTTGCAATCATTTTGTATGGCTATGGTTCTTGATTGAGTAGGTTTGGATCCGCTCTTTTGATGCTATAGCTATTTTATCATTCTGCGAACTTTTGTTTTTTGTTGGCTTTACAAAAAAAATTAATTAAGGTCATTAATTAGTGAAACCAACCTTTGCTACAAAAATATACCTACATTCGCAAAGTGTCTGCCATTTTTCAGTTTTAAATTTGTTTAGTTTTTATAATTTAATTTTAAATTATAATGGACTGTATTAAGGGCGGGTTGTCAGCTATTCGCTGCTTTAAATCCAAACCTTGACAAAAAATTATATAGCATCAAAGTTACAGCAATTTAATAGAATACATTTTTTTATTGAGGGGGATTCGATACAACGCGTAGTTTTTCGTTAAAACAAAGAAAGAAATAAATATCTATATGTTTTAATTAATTCTTTTAGATATGACATATTTATTTTTAAAGGAGCTTCGAAGCTATGAATTATTCTGATTTGGTAACAAATGGAACACATTGTGTATTTCTACTTCACTATCCACTCACAACGTTTGCATCGGTCACAAGAATACAAAAATGCACCCCTGTTCATAAAGTTGTAATATTCTTTTCCAATTTACAATTATATGGGAGCCCTCCTTTCCGAAACCAATTAAGATGGCTATAATGAAACGCAATTATGTCTTCTAGGTTAATTGAATTTTTTTAATGAAAGGTTACTTCTATGAGCCTTTGAAATATTTATACAGAGCGCAACGAAACAAAAAATGGTTAATAATTAAACAAGAGTCTCGTTTGAGAGCCCCGTCACAAAAATTCCAAAATTTGTGTTTTTTCTCTTATAGCACTAACGACATTACCTAAATCTCGGGGACCCTGCTTTTATTTGGAAAACCTGGTCTTGGTCTTTTTTTTTGTATTTATTTATTTTTAATCTTTATTTTGGGCTGGGCGCGGCTATTCTACCAACCCAACCCATTATACATTTACAAATATCCATGTCCGAACCCCGATTCGAATCAGGGACCCTTAGCACCGCAGTCGAGTTTCCGCGCCACTGTTTTGAAAAACGTGAACTTTTATTAAATGAAATTCGAGCACTTTCTAAAAATGTCACGAGTCGATGCTGTTTGACCGTTCCAATAGTCACCTTAGATCCGATATTTTTTTATATTCAGATCTTAGTACCTAGCACCAATTTTCAATATTAAACCTTTTATCTCCAGCTATTTTTGCATAGTAGACTCTTGAAGACTTTAAAGGCTCAAAAGCCACGGAGACCCTAAACAACGTTTAGCTCCGAATAGCATTAAACGTAGCTAAAAGTTGATGAAAAAGACTCATGAAGGTTCTCAAAATCTCTCGGAGGCATTTGATAAAAAAACTTTTTGAGAATCCCAAAGATACCGAAAGGTTCTCAAGAACACTTCTTAAAGACTCTGTTTGATTTAACTTTTAAACGATAGAAAATGCTTTTAAGGATTCGTAAAACTTAAAAGTTCTTAA